GTGCTCGTTTGGCTCCAGGGCAGAACCATCATGGCAGAAGGGTGAGGCTCAGTAAAGCTGCTCAGATGAGAGAGCCCTGAAGTTACGCTACTGAACAGCACCAAGAGAAAGGGGCCTGAGACCACATAGTGTGCCCAGTGTCATGGTCTCCTGATGCACCCAGACACAGCCAGAAGGGTGCTTGACTAATCCCATGGCCATCTCTCAAGCCAGTCAGGTTCACAATCGAGACTGCCTATGGCATCATATAAAACCATGATTAAATAAGTCTCTAATGCCTTTCTCTTGTCCATCTGTCTTTCATTAGGAGAGTACCTATCACGATCCTTCTGATGGGCAGGAGAGATGCCACGTTGAAAGGAGCTTAACCAAGGGCATAGATAGTGAGTTTTAGTTGCCCCTATTTTAAATATAAACACCTGATGCTCTAAGAGATTATTAACTGGCCGTAGTTAGGATTTTTGGTGAGATACACAAAGACAGAGCAATATCTTCAAGATTATTTCCATCATACTAGCCACTACTTGCTCCTCTCCTTCTTTCTCTTACTACTTCCTGCTCACTCTTCTTCTTCTGCTTTCTCCTCATCATCATTCTTCTAATATATTTAGGAGGGCAAAGTGTAGAATCATTATGTGACTGTAAGTGCAGAAGCATTCCTTACGGTAATGCACAAAAGAGTACAAAAACCAATCTATTTTAATTTTCTATCACACAGTGTAGCTACATTATTCTGGTACACATTTTGGGTAAGTTAAGAAGATGAACACTTAGAAACACTGGACTGAATCCTTTTGGCTGGCATCATATATATCTGTCTGTTAAAAGTACATAGCACTTACAATGTAATGACATAAAACAGTATCTCTCAATATAGAATAAAAATGTCCAGGCTACATATCAGAGCCTACAATGTAGAACTGGTCATGCAACAATGGAGAATTTTAATCAAAACATATTTTCGCTGTGGAAAGGTTTCAAAGAGTAAATGCTAATTACCTTCAATCAAATCTACCTAACTTCAGTTATTATTGTAATGTCCATATAAAGAGGACTGAAAGCCCTATTTCTAAACATGTTTTTATGAATGTACAATTGCATGTCGGCTGTGGTCTCCAATAGCATGGAGAGAGATGCCATGGTAGGATGTGTGTCCTTGAAATGCAGAAGGAGGGAGCAGAAAGAGAAGTAGTTACATTTCTTTTCTTGATGATCGTAATGATGACCATACAATTAAGTAATTGCACATCCCATGTAAAATGCTTCCAGGTTGCCATTGGTGCATTAAAAGGTATAGGTTGGGTTAAGGAAAAAGAATTCTAAAATCTTTTTTTTCAAAGGAAGCTCTATGCATGGAGTAACTGTTGGAGCAATGCAAGGGAACTGGTTGAAAAGCAATTGTCACGCTGATTAGCAAATACAAAAATATGCCACAGGGATGATTTCTAAGAGGACTAATAGGGGCTTATCTTAGGCCAAATTGACTTTAGCTCATCAAAAGACCGTCATCTGAACCTAGAAAAAATGGTTAGACTTAAAGAATGATTTTATGCAAAAGGCTCATCTTGTCTAAAAGATGCACACGTTAAATGCATAGCTGAGCTTTAGCAATCACAAGGGTGAAAATTATATTTGACACCTTGGTGGTAGGTATGTTGTACAACAGCTGAGAGTACATGACATTTCATGTCTTTGTTTGTTTGTTTGTTTGTTTATTTAAATTTTGTAGCTCTGGAATTTTGTAGCTCAGGGCCTCCTGCATGCCAGGCAAGTGCTTTAAGCCTGAGCTTTGTCTGCAGCCCTCTCTCTTTTGTTTTAAATCAAGGTCCCACTAAATTGATCATGCTAGTCTTGAACTCATGATCCTGCTGTCTTAGCCCCAGGAGCGGCTGAAATTACAGGCATACACCACCATGAGGACTGGTAAGACAGGCTCTTTGTACTTGTAAATTAGTACCGTCAGCCTGCTGTACCTGTCAGTTGTTTCCATATTTGCAGCAATGACAGATTGAAAATACTCAAAAAAAAAAAAAAATTTGTGTGTACTGAGCATGCAGCCTCTCATCCCTGCTACTATTCCCTAGACGACAGGATGTGCCAACTATTTACAGAGCTTTTGCATGACTTCAGGAATTACACCTTATCTAGACCTGACTGAAAACATACAGAAGGATATGCATTTGCCTAATGCAAATGATAGATCATTTTGTAGAAGGGATCTGAGCATTTCTAGATTTTGGTATCTAAGAGGGAGAATGCATTAAAATCAATTCCCTGCAGATACTAAAGGTGGTTTGTATTTTAAACTCAAAGATAACAGCTCCTACATGAATAGAATTTAAATATTCATAAGTGTATGGCCATCAGAATTTGACTATTCATAGGAGACTGGCCTTTGAAATTTGTTTATTCATAAGTGATTGGCCAGCTAAATTTGAATAGTCATGGGTGGATAGGGAGATGAATAGATGGACAGATGACAGAGTGGATGGATGGATGGATGGATAGAGGGATGGATGGATGGATGGATGGATGAAAAGATGGAGAGGTGTGCAGACAAATAAAACGATAGATTGCTTGATTAATGATATTACTGATACCATGGAATTTAACCAGAATGTCAGTGTTTTAAAATGCAGTAGTGGCTTTCAAGCAGCCATCAAGGTAGGTCCATATCGTGTCAATCAGACTAATAAACAGTTTCCAACTTGTCTTCCAGGCAGATGCTCCTGTTCCCCTGCTTTCTCTTTCGCAATCTCCCCACTCCACAAAATGAATCCTTTCTCAAGACTGAGCAAGTGAGCCGGGTTGCTCTGAATCTGTGCCACTTCCAGCTGAAAACCTTCTGACTCATGCAGCGTGCAGCATGCATGAGTTCTAAGCAGTCATGTCTGCCACCTCCCAGGTTAACTAATTGATCTGTAACTTGAACTCCTGCAATTAGAAGTCCCTGGGACACGTTTCAAATTGATGACTGTGGTGACATAGCCAAGCGATATGTAAATTATGTCATCACTGTGTACACGACAGAATGGCCGACTGGGAACAAACTGTGGCTGTGACATCATCTACAGATATTTACAGATGCTTGCGCTTCGTTTTCCCATCTATAGAATGGAACCCGTGAATATCTATCTACAGCATTTACATGGAGCAAAACCTAAACGAAATAAAAGAAAAGAAATTCCTTTCTGTAAACACAGAGCATCACACAAAGTTACAGAAATGCAACTCTGTGGACCAGAGCACTAGTCTAACTCTGGTTCTCAACAGGAGATATTTTGCTAACCCCAGGGGCAGTTGGCAATCTCTGCAGATAGTGTTAATTATAACTCGTGAGCGCTGTTACGGGCAATCCAATGTGCAGAAGTCAGCACTGCTGCTGAACATCCTACAGTGAAGACACAGAAATAATCTAGCTTCTCATGTCAACGGAGTTATGATGGAAAATCCTCCATTAAGTCAAAGCTTTCTATTAGTCTTTCTAAGTTGCTCTTCAGACCAGTAATCATCCACCAGTGGTGAATTTACCTTCTGGGAACACTGCGTATTATCTGGAGACCGTATTGTTAATGGGAAGTCAAATATTGGTTATTAATAGCTCATGGATGCTGCCAACCACCCCATAATGCACTGGGCAGCCTCATCCATGAGAAAACAATTATCCAGTTCCAAATATCCACTGTGCTCAGGCCAAGGAAAGTTGGCCTAGATGTACAATAATCCCCCCTTATCCGAGTTGTCATTTTGGACACTTTCAGTGACCTGCAGCCAACCACATTGTGGAAATAATAATATTTATCTTCACTCTTCCCCGACAGGTCACATTCACATAACTTTTATGTCATCTTATTGTTATAATCATTCTATGGTACTGTTAGTTATTGCTGGCAGTCGTTTACGATGACTAACTCATAAATTAAACATTATGATAGTTATGTGCATATTGAGTACAGTGGGTATGTTGGGTCCTAGCCACAACATATTCTTCGTGGTTAAGGAAGGAAGTGACTAGATTCATGCCCACTAAAAGAAAATAACACCTTCTTAACTCACTAAGGCAGAACTTAGCTTTGTTTTGTTTTAATAGAATCAAGCCTTGCAAAATTTGAGACTGAACGGTACACTATATAACACCTTGGTGAAAATTTTTCCGCCCATATGAACACTTCTGTAGTGAAATCAAATGAATGCTAGCATTGAGCAGAATGAATAAAGACTGCCCAACCTTATACTCACCTTATGTTAGTTGGTTCCAGACTGGTTTTTATGATTTGGATATGAGATATCCCCAAAAGGCTCAGGGATTGAAGACTTGGTCCTCAAAGCAACAACATTCAGAAGTTGAGCTTCTGAGGAGTCATTGATTATAAGGGCTTTGAGTTCATCAGTGGATTAAGTCAATGATGAGCTCATAGTTTACTGTGCTTATTAGGAAGTTGAGTCTAATTAGGTCTTCGCAATGCCTCCATACCTCTAGACACTGCTGTTTCTTGTCTGTCTCCAGTTCAGTGGTCTCAAAGCGGGGGCAGTTTTACCACCCAAAAAACATTTAGCACTGTCTGGAGATTCTTTTGGATGCAATAGCATAGCTGGCATGAAGAGCTGCCCGTGCTTTCTACTGGGTAGGGTACAGTGATGCTGCTCAACACAGTATAGTGCTCAGGGCGACCCTGCCATAGGGAATGAGCCCACCCCAAATGTCCGCAGTGTACAGGCTGAGATGCCCTGGACTCAAGTGATGATCCATCGTATGTACTTTAAATGCTTACTGTATTCTTGGCACTGGCTGTCAAACCGGAAGATGATTCCTCCAGCCTAAGAGCATTTGGCAACACCTGGGGATTATTTGTTGTTGCAACTAGGGAGTGAGATCGTGGCATCTAGACACTATAAACATCTCACAATGCTGCACAACCCCTACAGCAATGAATCAGCGAGGCCCAGGTATCCACAAGGCTCAACAGTCAAGCATCTCTTAAGTAGAGAGACTCTCTGTGTAGCAGAATCTCGCAATGTTGCTCCTATGTCTGGTTGGGAAATTTCCCAATCCTGGAAGGAACTAAAGGGACCTAGGACCCTGAGCCATCTCCAGACCTTCCAGGAAATTCCACGGTCCAGGGTGCTGCTCCTAATTAGCCCAGTGGTAAGTCTCTACAGTCCATTTCTTCCTCCCAATAATATCATTAGTATTGACATTAGAACTGCAGTATTTATAAGGAGTGCTTGCTTTCCTTTTCAGACTGCACTGGAGCTAAGACTTAACTTGTCCTTACAGTCACATTCTTTGTTATTTATATCCCAGGAGGGCCGGGGAAGTACTTGAACCCAAGACCAAGTGCTACAGGGGTTAATCTCAAGCAAGGTTAGAATTTTAAGGAGAAGATAAGATAAAAACAACACACTGGAAATTTCAAAAAAAGCTTAGCGGTTGCTCTGGAGAGTTCGTTTTTATTCTTCTTTTTCATTGTATTTCATTTTAGTTTTTGGTGCTGGGGACTGAACTCAGGGCCTTGCACATGCTAAGCACACATTCTACCACTGAGCCGGTCTCCCAATCCTGCTAAATTTTAATGCTTGTTTACCATATCTTTTAAGGGCTACCTGACATTTCTGGTTAAGGGTTTGGGTGCAACTACAAAGAATTGTTATTAATTTTTTTCTTTATTCATGCACTGCAAGTTTTTAGACTTCTGCATCCTGAGATCATAGCTCTTGTGTTACAATCTCAGTATAAAGGAAAACAGTACAATTTCTCCCTTGGTAAATAGTAATGCCACATTACCCTCTGGTTCATAAGGATTTTTGTCAACTGTCATTGCATGCTTATTGAGATAAAAACACATATGAAGTAAATAACTGAAAAATGGGGTAATATTTCCATAAAACAACTTGAACAGTTTTATTCACATCATATTTAACAAGAATTCTTTTTAACACTGCTCTTTTAATATGTAAGTATTGGCAAGACAGGGATACATGATCCTCCTGATTGAAGTACTCAAGAGCTGCATATCTTAATGCATTATGAACATTCCTATAATATACACATACAATAACCTGGAGTGCTTCCTCTAGAAGGGATTGCATGCATTTCTTTGCATCTCTCTTTGGGATGAAGAAAGTCATACATTTGGTTGATTCACTTTTCAAATTTTGCATGCATTTCAAAGGTTAAATTGTTTGGGCTGCTTCCTTTCTGTAACTAATAAAAATATCCAGAAACAACAGCTACTTTTTTTTGAGATAGGGTCTTACTACGTGGATCAGACTGGCCTTGAACTCACAATGTAGCGCAAGCTAGTCTCAAACTCATGGTGATCTTCCTGTCTCAGCCTCCAGAATGCTAGGATTACAGGTGTGAGCCACCATGCCCAGCAAACAGCTTATTTCTAAACTACATAATCATTCCTCAGAATCCCTAGTCTTTTTATAGAAATTGTCTACAAACAAAATCTTGAACAACACAGTGAAGAACAGTAAGATACACTACAATCTAAAACAAAATCAACAAAGCCTACTAAGCAACACCGGGTTCCACATAATGATCATAATAAATGTGGCAATACATCTCTCCTAAATAAGTAGGCGCTTTTTGCTTTTTTAATTTCCTGCATCTAAATCCAGGTCTTCATGACAGATTTGGAATCTGCACCCATAAACATTTTACAAAGAAGTCCAACATGAAACTTAAAAAGTAAAAAGAAGATAGTACTGCTGGTAATTCTAATTCCTCCTCACATTTATTTTTCAAAAAAGCAATGAAAAGCAAAGATAGAATAACACCAATCTTTCATGGGCTATAGTGGATGATAAACATGCCTTTGTTATACTCAGTGTATCTAGTTCAGCAGCATCGGTTCTCATATTTAATACATAAGGTTAATCAATTTAATTTCTCTTTTAAAGAAGCTACGCCACAAATGTACCTTTTTATTTGATCATTTCCTTACAGGTTTCACCTGAGCGCTTCAGATCTTCATTTCTCTCTCTCTCTCTCTCTCTCTCTCTCTCTCTCTGTCCTCAGCTTATATTTTCAATCCACTGATTTAATGCAAAAAAGAAGAAAGAACATTTGGCAATGGCTTTCTTCTCCCTAAAGATGATCTTGTTTCAGGGCAGAAGACCAAATAAAAACTGGAAGATTAAATTAGGGAGGTGGTTTTCCAGATATTTCTGAGAAGTCCATCCTCCATAGCTAAGAAGTACCTCTTCCACTGATTCTACTAACTCTTCTCCCAGATGCTGGTTCACTGTTACAAGAGGGCAAGAAATAGAAACCTTCAGAGTTATCTTGACATAGTGCCACTCAGAAATCTCCTAGGTAGTTGTTTTCTGTCATATCTCAATATCTCACCTGCTGAAAGGCAAAACAATAAAAAATGACCTCACTCACCAGTCCTTATATGACTTTCAGACACGGCTGCTCACTGGGAAGCTTAGATATTCCTTCCCTTCTCTTCAGGATCTTAAAAAGGTGTCACCTCATCTCAAGGGACAGCACCCTAGCCTAAAAAGCTCACGATGCGTGAATACTCATTAGACAGTCAGGGCTATTTTAATCAACCATCACTACCAGCAGAGTCATCACCTGGTCATGGAAGCAGCTATCATGAAAAAGTTATTTCAGTGCATGTATCTTTGCACTCGGCCTTCTCCCATGCCCAACATGTTTCAGATGTCAATCAGAGATAAGTTCCTCTTTCCGGAACCCAGCAATCGCACTGCAAGACCTTTGTGTGCCAGTTCTAAATACTTCACTCTAATCTTTATTTATTTACTGACTTTCTGACCTAGAGAATGCATGCGCACGCGCACACACACACACACACACACACACACACACACAAAGGTTCACTTAATGCCTTCCCTGAGTACAATGGACTTGAGCAATCCACTGTATACAAGTAGCAAGGCAAAAAAGAGGAGTGTGCATCCACCGACCAAGGAGAGCCATCGAATGCAGGGAAATGGAACGATGGTTTTTTTCCCACTTGAGCAAGAACAGTTGTGGAAGAAGCTTAGGGTGGTAACCACTAGGGTGACATTTGGAATGATCTGTCTAGAGCCTGATGCAGCTAAGCCCAGCCAGCCTGTTTGCCAAGTGAGTTGCACATATAATGCAGTTCAAACAGCCCCCAGGAATTCATTTTGTTGGTCAATAACTTGGTGTTGAGCAATGGCTATGGCTACCATGCCAGTTCTTGGGAGCAGAGTGGGGAGGTGTCTTAGAAACACTGATAACATAAATAAAAGGGGGAGCCCTGCAACCTCACACATTCAGGAAAACCAGAACCCTGACAAAATCATTCTCAGCATTTTCATTTATTTACTCTTGCCCTCTCTGTGTAAGCTGATTACTTTATTTAGACAACAAATAAAAACAAACAAAAAAAACAGCCTAACTCCGTAAACTCTGCACCTTTGTTTCTGTTATTCCTCTTCCACCAGTAAAACTTGCCTTAGTTTTCATTATTTTGTGTGCCTCTGGCCTGTGGTGGACAACCACATAATGAATCAGTAATGTAGCCAGTGTTAACTTTTTTCCCATTCTTAATAGTAAGGAAGGGTTCCAGCACACTGAAGCCTGACAGATATTTGAACAGGAATTAGTATGATCCAGGTACCCTCCCAAAACATCACACAATGGCATCATTTTACTTCCCAGGGTCTCTCTGTAGAATTTCTTCTTTCCACAAATGTTTTATACCAGCTAGCGGTCAAACTTCCTGCATGTCTCAAGAGACTGCTGAGCAGTGAATGCTTTAAAGTTCAAAATTAAATGTCTATTGCAATAATATATCTCTGCAGTTCTAATTCCCAGGAAAGATTTGTTCTTCTCCTCCTCATTCCACCTCCAGGGAGGGCATGGTTTCGGGCCCCCCGGGAGGCAGGGCTTACAGAACCCAGTTTGCGGCTCTCCCCTCTATTTCTCACCCTCTGCGCCCATTGAAGCTCTGCCCCCTACCCTACCTGGATGGAGCACAGAGGGAAAGGAACAGAAAATAGATCAGGGAGTTCTTCTCTCGAAGGCACTGTCAGGAAACGCTTTCAGGCCAAGCAGAAGCTCGTCCTTCCTTGGAGTCACATCTTCTTCAGGTTCTTAGAAGTCACCCTGCTGCATTTCCCCATGTGCAATTCCCCAGACACAAGCCATGCCATCCCTCTCTCCTTGTCGTCCTGGTGGTCCACCTCTGCTATTAATCCTTCTTGTGCTAGGATGTCTTGCTAAACCAAAGTGCATGTGGCTACAGGCCATAGTCCTCTTTGGTCTCCACGTGCTCACAGCAGTCATCTGATCACGTGCAATTTTTTGACAGATTCTGGGGCTGCAGTACATACCAAAACATTCCAGCCTGAGATCCCTCACAGTAGCTGTATCATCCTTGAGTGAGGCACCAGCTATGTTGTGCCCTAAGAGATGCATACTATAGCTTTCTGACTGATCAGAAGGCAAAAGAGGTACACAACACCCCCCGCAGGAAGGGGAGGGCCCAGCACACTGGAGTGCTACAGAAGCCTGTTCCCAAACTCCATCCCCTCTTCTTAAATACCCTTGATGCAGTACCAAAGATCCACATAAACGATTCCCTGCATAGAATATTTCCATAGCACACCAGTTCTTACATGAACTGGTTCCAATATATATGACCCCAAACTGATTGAACTTAATCACTGAAAAGCGGACTTGGGACCCAAATGGACCAGAAACCCAACTTGATTCTGATGCTCGCCACCTGTGTGGTCTTACAAAGGTGGCTTCATCTCCTAGGGTACCAGCTTCCTTATCAGTCAGGTCGGCAGAAGACCACATTCAGGCAGAGCTACTGATTGGAAGTAATGGAGCAAGTCTTGATGCCTGGCCAGGAAACAGATGCTGCTTTATTGGCAATGTTCGGAGTATAGGAAGTCTCTTTCAGAAATTAGGAAACACACTGGGCTTTGAGACCTTCAAAACCAAGGGCTTTGTTCTATGGACCAGTAGGGATGATCCACGAACCTGCTCATTGTTGAATCTACCTGAAGGTTAGCATTTATATGATGGAGCCGACCTTTACCCAGGACCAGCCTGGCATGCTTTGCCTTTTGAACTTTTACCCAGAAAGAGGCCCACACAGACACTGCTGAGGGAAAATCCTAAAGTCCCACAGTAGGAGAGCACCATGTGGTCCTTCAGGGCTCAACAAGCACAGGCTCACTCTCCGAGACTGAACCCGGAGCCAACCCATGAGACAAGAGCAAGGCCTGATAATTATGGCTCTGAATCAAGGAGTAAGCAGTCGCATGCAAATCAGGCAATGGGGATCAAAGCAACAAGGCATTCAGGCAAGGCTCTTCCCTGACCCATACAAGGAAAAGGAAGTCCAGAGCTGCAGAAACCAGTGGACAGATTCCTATTGTATCACCCACAATGACACAAGTTCAACAGTGAGGAGTTCTGGTCTACCAAACATGGGCTCAGCTATCCGCCACCAAGCCATTCACCATCATCCTTGAGTTCAGAAATATAAAAACATCTGGCATAGTGTGGCGCTTCAGTGCTCCCCAAAGAGTTGCATCACAATGTGCTGCCTTGCTCTGAGGTCCAAAGAAAAGGGGTCAACAGATAAGAAACTAAAACTTAGCCAGGTGTAGTGGTGCACTCCTATAATCCCAGCACTCCAGAGGCTGAGGCAGGAGGATCGTTGTGAGTTGGAGACCAGGCTAGGCTACAAAGTGAGCTCAAGGCCAGCCTGAACTGCATAGCGAAACCCTGTCTCAAAGACCAAGACAAAAAAAAAAGAAAAGAAAAGAAACTGAAACTTGTGAGACTGAGCAAAACTTCTATCTTTATAAGCTGATTCTCTCAAGTATTTGCTATACTGATGGAAAACGAACCCAACAGCCCGTGTCCTTTTACCTTTGGGCTTGGGAACTTCTTTGATGATTAAAATGAAAGTTATGGGGTAACACGGTAAAAGCATGTAGCAAACCCCCTCAGAGTCATTCCTTCATGTCCTATATATAATATGTGTGGAAACAGATCAAAGATGGAAAGTTCTGAGTAGTTTCAGCCTAAATTCCTTCAGTTATTTGTGAGTTTTAATGATTTTTCCTCCTTCCTGTTCTTCTGTAGCAGGGCTAAACACGGTTGGCTCCTCGACAGAGTACATTGTGGAGTTTGAAGTTATAGCTTTATTATTAAACCAAAAACTAAGTCCTAGTGAATTACTTTTCTTTAAATGGCATTCTAGTGTTCTCTGGGAGGAGGAAACCACGGAAACTAACTGTCTCTAATATTCTTTCAGAGCATTTTAAATAGCCCTGGGAAATTGACTTGAAATGTATGCTTTTTAAATGTTATTCTCTTTACATTAATACAACAGCAGCCAACAAATATATTCAATTGAAATGTGCCCACAAAAGAACAAAAAATACATTCATTGTGCCTGTTGGAGCCATCTACTTCATTTAACCTATTATATAGCACTCAAATCAATGCAATTGTATATAAATACATAAACACATATTATATATAAAAACCGTTCCTTTCCAGTTTCTTATAACCACATACACCTATCTACATACAGATGGTCCCTGATACGTCTTTATGTTTTGTATCTGGTTGTTCCCCCAAACCCTCCTATGCTCATAGGTGGGGCTTTAGGGAGGGGATTGTTTCATGGATGTGTGATACTCTGCAGGGGATTAGTCCATTGATGAGTTTATATCTAAATGTCCTATTGGAAGGTGAAGCCTGACCCGATTGGAGGAGGTGGGTCATTGGGGGTGTGGCCTAGCAGGGCCTATCTCCCTCCTCCTCCCTTGATTCCTCTCTGCTTCTCATATCCGCCTACCAGGTGCTATTTCTCTTCTGCCAGGCCCCTCTGCCACAGTGCCCTGCCTTGGAGCCAGCCAACTATTTGTAAGGGTGAAACCTCTACAAATTTTGAGCTGAATAAACCTCTGTTCCTTGGAGTTGTAGGTGGTCAGTATTGTGTCTCAGGAGTGAGAAAGTAAGACACATGTGATGGATGGAGTTATGAGTTTTCTAGCTTTTATGCTATTGTTGTTACTTTACGACGGGGCAAAAGTGAGACACATTCAGTAAAAACTGTACTTTGAATGCCAAGCTGTGATACTCTCCCGAGGGAGAAATACACGGCACCATGCTCTCTCCCAGTGCCGGGCAACTCCCAATCAGCAGCAACATGATCACAGGTGGAAACAACCCACACTCTGCACGGTGCTATGTTGCAAGCATTTTTTGCATAGCGTGTCTTGTGTACTTATTATCCCAGCATGCCTAAGTACCGTGCGCCTGTAAGTGTACAGGAAGTAGTCAATACTTGATTACAAATTGATTTTGCTCAACTGTAAGTAACACACATGCTCTAAATATGTTTAAGGTAAGCTCAGATAAGCTATAATGCTCAGTGGGCTAAGGGCAATGAATGCATTTTTGATTTAAAATATTTTCAACTTCCCGAGGAAGTATGAGGATGCAAACTTGCATGAAAAAATATGAAAAATAAGTCCATTCAATAGCACATAATGAGCTGATATTCTAAATTTAATAGCATACACATTAATTAATGTTCTTCTTACAAGCATACACGTTAATTTTGTAACATATAATGTATCATCATGTGTACAGGCAAATAAATGTATTTAAATTAAATTCTATATAGGGCATTTTCTCTTTTTTATTTTTATTTTTTGGGTGGTTCTGAGAACTGAATCCAGGGCATTTGCACTGGCCTATATCCTCAGCCAATTTTTTTTTCTTATTTTGAGATATACTCTCCCTAATGTGCTAAATTGTCGAGGTTGGGCTTGAACTTACGATCATTCTGCCTCAGCCTCCCAGAGTCCTGGGATCTTATATTCCTTAAAATCACCTACCCAAATTATATACATATATACTACAGCATGTGTGCATCTGTGTATATCTACACACATCCATTCCCCTTGAGCTTCTTAAACTCTCAACTATTAGAGGAGCTTAAAAAGATTCTGAATCTGCAAATTTTACAAAGTAAACTTCGGGGTATTTGGTGTCCTGTTAACTTGTTTACACCCCTCCCAACCTGATTCCTACGGAGGGATTACTTCAAGATGCCAGTTGACGGTAAGACCAAATTTGAAAATCAGAAAGGTTCCTCAGAATAAGGCTGACCAGGCATTTCTCAAGTGTGCCGGAGCGTCTCAGTTCAATGGGAAATTAATAAATACTGCTTTGTTTTACAAAAGGCTACGTGGTGCTCCCCAGTAAGTTGGGAAAAGTCCCAAGACCGTGGGCATTTTCAAGTGAACACATAACTTGTCTAATGAGAAGGGATGGAACTCCTTCCCATAGCTGTGGTCTGAGACAAGTTGGAGGTCGAGGCTATGTAATCGGCTTTCTGCTCTTCTACCCTTAGGCAGCATAGGATGTGGGTTCAAGTGCAACAAAGGAGAAAACCTGACATTCCAGAATAAACTGCTTGAACCACACTGTGGCTGGATTATGATCTGAACTGCAGAGGAGATGAAGAAAAATAGTTTCTTGTTGCTGTTCCTTTCTTGGAGCTTTCGTTTTCCTTATAGTTTTTTCGCTGGTGCTGCTAGAATACTTTTCCTTTATTTGTACAATCAATATTGTATTTTACTTTCTTACTACTTGTCTCTTCATGCTGCGGGCTGGAAATCTTACCAATAGTATTGGAAAAAAATTTTAATGTATAGGAAAATATAATAATAGTTCCTGGGGAAACAAAATTAACCGAAGTTCCTCCCTCTGTTCTGTGTATTTTCAGCTGTCTGGGTGAAGGCAGACGGCCTAATTCCTTGTCAGCTCCCTCTCCCTATTTCTGCGTGAAGTATGCACGTCCTACTTTGCAAGATTGTTGAGAGAACGGGAGCAGAGCTCATTTATAAGGTAGTGAGTGTTTCTCAGCCATTTGTGAGCCTGAGGCTATGATTGGCTATGAAGCAAGGAGAGAATTTTAACCACAATTGACCAATCATTCTTTAACATTGTACCCTGGGCACATGGCCTTCACAGTATTTCCAAAAATCTACCACGGCGTTGCTTCGGGGATGGAACATTGCCACGTGGAGTCAGATCGTTTCAGGTGAGCGCAGAGCTAGTTCACTCAGAAGAAGCAAGGATGCTCAGAGCCTGTGAGAAGACAGCATCCCTGCACAAGGTGCTCAAGCACGGAACCACAGGAGGAAGATTCAGCCCACAGAGCTGCAGAGCTCCCCTCCTTGCAAGTGTGGGAAAAACAGATAGCAAAGATGCCGAAGTCTCCAGTCAGAGCCATCCTGGGCACCACCGCCCATAACGGATCCTAGAGGGAGGGAGGAGAGGGGACAGGAAGGATAGGAGAGATGAGGACAGGAGAGGACAGGGGAGGACAGAGGAGGGGAGGGAAGGAGAGGGGAGGAGAGGAGAAGAGAGGAGAGGAGAGGAGAGGAGCGGAGGAAGCATTGAGGAAGATGAGAAAAGAGGAAAGGAGGAAAAAGAGGGGTGGATGGGAGAGAAGGGAGGGAGCAAGGAAGGAAGGAGCTGCTCCTCCACTCCAGCCGTGAAGAGGTACTAGCACTCAGAGTGCAGAGTCCCTTGGCAAAACCTCGAGTCTTACCTAGTGAAGGAGAACCTCAAGGAGGCGGCGGGGAGGGGTTACTATCAAGCATGGCTGGGTTTGAGCTCCTTCCTCACCACCTCGTACTTTCGGAGTACACACCCTCCAACCGCAGATACTGTTTTAGAACATCATCTATGTACGAACATCGCAGAAACTTACAAATAAAAGTTTCCTCCATCATTAGAGAAAGCTATCAAACTGACCCCAGAAGTTTCTGGTCATGACCTCAAATCTGCATTTTAGTATTTTCGAAGGAGTTTCTTCAGGCCTGTATCCACTGAATTAGGTTGAGTATAAAACTTAAATACCATGGAGCGAAGCTGGAGCTCAGTGGTAGAATGCTTGTGCAGCATCCCTGAGAGCCAGACTGGAGAGAGGGAGAGAGAGGAAGAGAGACAGGAAGCGGGAGAGGGAGAGGGAGAGGGAGAGAAGGGGAGAAAGAGAGAGAGAGAG